CCAAGCAGAGGCGTTTTTGTTTTTATCAATAGAGGAAGCGAAGTGACAATGCACATCCAACATTGCACCATTTAATTGTCACAAGCAAAAGACACATTTACAAATTCTTTATTTACATGTGGGTGCAGACAAGAAAGGAGCAGCTAGTTGGTAATTGTTTGGAATTGTTGTTTCTTGGTTACCACAGTCTTTTAACGTGAGGGACATGATTTATTGATCTTCGTGTATGTCTGCGTGTGTACACAAAGAGCTCGCGTTGTATGAAAATGATTGATGTGTGTATAATTTTAACATTCTTTTTTTTTGTGTGTGTGTTGGTGTGGCTACCCGTGTGTGTTTGTGTTTGTCTTTTTTAGCATTGCAAAAAAATATGTTGTGTTTCTTTATCCTTTTTTTCAAACTCGAATGCACAATGACATGCACTGATGTGTCCCAAGTCTTCTTAGACTATAGTGAATAATGTTTTCTGTGTAACTTTGTATACACACACACACACACACACACAAACACACACACACACATACACACACACACACACACACACATACATATATTTGTGTTTGTGTGCGTGTGTGTGTGTGTGTTCTTCCCCAGTGTCGCCAGCGTTGTAGGCGGGCGACTACGAGGTCACGCCGCGGCAAACTTGAGCGCCAGAATGAAGTTGATTCCGCTCGCGTGAGTAAGTGCAGTTGTCATTGAAGGCGTTGGTGATTGAATTATATTGAAATATGTCACTCTAGATTGTTTGATATTTTGACAGCTTCATTCGTCTATTGCACAAAAAATGTAATAGTCTGGTAATTCTCGAGAAAACTGTTTTAGAGACTTTGAGATAAAATACTGAATTTCTGTTTAAATACCGGAGAGCAGACTAAAAGTTTATGAATTTCACCCTCTCCTCCTTCGTTACTGAATAAAAAATAACTGCAAAACACACAAATAAACAGATAAAAAGTACCACTTGACACAAAAACAAAAAGACAAGAAGAAATATCCCACCAGAACAGGTCATACCAAACTTTGACCCCTGCCAGAAATCGAGGTCAAAAGGTCATAGACGGTTACGGGGATGCAAGGGTGACATCCACGAAGGCCTGGGGGGGAGGGGTCAATAGAAGGCCCCTGGTGTGACCACGTAACTTTTCTTCCCCTAGTGTGGGGTGCCAAAAGGTGCCATGTTACTTCCAGGCATGGCACTTGTACCATTATATATATTTTTCTTGTTATTTATCATGTTCATATTAATGGGAAGGGACTCATGCCAAGGGTACGTGTACTTTATGAAATTATGCTCATAAAAAAAAACTTTAGGGTTGTTTTATATTCATCATCATTTTTGTTGTAATTATGTTTATTTTTGCTCACATGTCTGAACATGAACTTGTCTATTATTCAAAGGCTCATGACATGCATACCCAGGTCAAAAGGAAATGATTTCATCTCATTTTCGTTTTCGTGAATGCTATAAGGCTTAATGCTGTCCAATTGGCATAGATGACACAGCTGTTCTGGGCAGGCATGGGTGGGTGAAGGGGGTTGGGTATGTGCCCCCTTCCCCCCTTCCCCCCATCAATGAGAAACAACGAAAGGAAGAAATGAAGCGACGGAATTTTATTTTTTTCTCCTTTTGTTATTATTTTCAATATTCCTTATGTACATACATACAATAACTGCCAATATAAGTATTTTGGAACATATAAAGCAGTTATACAAAGAAGAATTATATATCAGCAATAATTCTTTCTCCATAGACAATTCTGTACAGTAACTTTACAAAGAACAAAACATCTTGTCGGATAAATTGTATAAACAAAGCAATAGGACGAAAAGTGGCTCGCCCCACCACTCCTGGACTCAGGGGGTTGCAACACCTGGAGGGCGATCGCAACACCCACGTAGGCTTGCAACACAAACTCCTCATTCCATAAAAAAAGAATCCTGCCTATACAAAAATACATTTCTTTTTTGTGTGTGCGAGTAAGGGGGGCGGCAAGCGACTTGGTGGCCCCGAGGTTTAGCTGTTTGTATATACATATACATATAAATATACATATACATACATATATATATACATATATATTAAATATCAATAGAAATTTGAAGAAAACAAATAATTATATAAGATTTGTGACATTTCTTTTCCCCTTTTTATGTATTTCCTTTTTTTATACAAAATTCGGATGCACTTTTTTTTTCTTTTTTTTTCCTTTTTTTATACAAGATTCCAAGCCGCCCAAGAGGTCTTGCCGCAGCCCTTCGTTTACGACTGTGAACTACCTGACCAGGAGACGGCGCTGGGTATCCCCCCTCCCCCCTCCCCCCGCGCGTCCTAGGGTCCGTGGGGGAACGCCTAGGAATGGGGGGGGGTTGTGGGGGGGAGTCTCTGCTTACAACATACATAGACTCGACTGACTGACTCTTGACTCTCTCTCTCTCTCTTTCTCTCTTCCTCTCACTATAACAAATCGTATATCCAAACAATTTCTAAATATTTTCTCTCTTTGTCTCTTACAGTAATATATATATAAAAAAGGGAGAGATAAGACACACAATCTATCAACAATGAGCATTCGCAACCGTTCTCGGATTAACAATCAATGCGCTCGTTATCCACAAGAAAGAGGGGAGGGAAGAAAAGAAAGAGAAAAGATAATAATCCATTTGTTTGGCCGAAAATGCGTCCATCTGCAACTCAAGGGCCTCCTCGTTTCCTTTCTTTCTTGTTTTTTCATGTTCATATAAGTTCGCGTTTTTTTTGGAAGGAAAAAATATGTGGTTCAACACAAATCAAACTTCACATTTTGCTTTTTTTTCTCGAACTTGACCAAACGATCACAAGTTTGATTTTTCTTCTGGTCTCGAGCGTCTGTTTTCTGCCCCGCGAATCGAAGAAAGACGTGTATACCTGCATAGCGTGTGAGTGTGAGTGAGAGTGAGAGTGAAAGAATGGGAATGTGAGAGTATGAGTGGGCGAGTGACAGTGAGTGACAGTGAGAGTGAGAGAGTGATTGTGTGAGTATGAGTGAGTATGTGCATGTGTATTTGTAGTTGTATTGGTATGTGTGTGAGTGTGCTTGCTAGCGTGGCTATACCTTTCTTTCTATCCGAGCACATATCTTTTCTTGCCGCACCTGAGGAGCGTGTCCCATGGAAGCCAGTCTGAGGTCAGCACAAGATCGTCCAGCCCGTGATCACTGCGGGGCGCGAGCACGACCTGTCCTCGGCCGGAATGCCTTGGAGGTTGTCCTTCCGCCCTCGGGCAGGGCTGGCTCGCGCGGCCCTCCACGCGGGCGGCGAGAGAGTGGAGGGAGGGAGGGAGGGAGGGCGGGGTTGCAGTGTCCTTGCGCCCCTGGTCTGTCTGCGGGAGGGAAGGTCGCGGGCCCACTTTTCGCCAGCAATAACATTCGCGCAACAACATTAATTGATCGACTAGAAGGTACTGGGTGACCCACCCAGTCATGTCCTGCTTGCCCGCCCTTGTATCTGCGGGCGGGTGGGATTAGGGGGAGGGTGGGCTGGGCGGCTGAGGGTGGGTGGTGGGCGGGTGGGGCCAACACCAACGATACGAGCAGCACAGCATCGCAGCATCGCAGCACGGCGGCTGCGGCGCGAGGGTGCCGGCGGCGCCTCCGTCACGAGCGGCGGAGGCTGCCTCGGCGCTGCCACCTCGCGCATCTGCGCCACACCGTCATACAAGGCTGAATAATAAATTAATTACGATGTAAGAGAGGTGTTGGCGTGATGCGCCGCCCACCGTCTCAACCGCCCTTGACTGGTGGGCGCGGCGTTGATCCCTGAATGTGCCCGGGGCCATGCGCTGGTGTGGGCGGCGTGGGCGGCGTGGGCGTGACTAGGAGGAGGCTCCGCGCCCACGCTCCGCCACCAGCGCCCCGAGGCCGCTCAGCTTCCGGCGGGCGGCGCGGGCCGGGCGGCCACCCTGGCCCGGGGATTAAAGCTTGAGAGGGTGGCCGAGGCCGTCCTCCGTGGGTGTGGGTGGCCCGGGCCGCCCGCCGGGGGAGGGCGGCCCACTGCGCGACTCCCTTCAGGCGCAGTCGTGCAGCGGCCGCTTCTCCGGGGGCGGCGGCGGGTGGTGGCGCGCGCCCACGCCCTGGGGGCAGCGGCACCCGTGGCTCGTGCACCGCTGGTACGTGCTCTCCAGCAGGCGCCGCGCCGCCGTCAGGGGCCAGTAGCAGAGCAGGCACGGCAGAGGTACGGAGGCGAGGGCCAGGCACGCCCAGCCCCGCAGCGCATGCGGGCCGCCGCAGGAGCACGGGTGGTCCGCGGCCGAGTCGAAGTCGGCGTCGCCGTCCTTGCTGCAGTGGTAGAGCACGCCCTTGACGCAGCACAGGCACGACGCGTAGTCGACCACGGCTGCGGGCGAGCACAGGCACTTGTTGCGGCACAGCCAGGCCGCAGGCGGCGGCCGCGGCTTGGTGCATGCCTCGCACCGGCAGCGGCCGCACCACGAGCAGATGATGGACTCGCCGTCGATGTCGTCGCGGCCGCCCTTCGTAAAGGTGAGGGCGGCGGGCTGCTTGCTGATGACGGGCGCGCGGCTGCCCTGCGGCACGAGGGTCACGCCCGTGGTGCTGCCCGCGAGGCTGCCGCCTTTCACTGTTGTCCCGACGTTCAGACTTGTCTGGGCGGCCGTAAGCTTGGCTGCGGCGGACGGCCTCTTGACGCTGGTGCGGGCGGGCGCGCCGTGGACCAGCGGCAGGTCCGTCGAGTGGGGGGCGCGACCCCCCGCCGGCGAAGGATGCTGGCCCGGCCGCAAGCGGGGCGCCACGCGGTGCTTGAAGGGCGTGTCCACGTAGAGGTTGGTGGTGCGCTGGTGGTCCGGGCGGGGCACGGAGAGCGTGATGGGGCTGCCCTGGGGGGAGGTGGTGGTGCCCGGCCCCCCCGCACAGCCCCCCCCGCCGCCCCCGCCTTGGCTGCGGCCATCGTGAGACATCACCGAGCACACGGGCCGAACATCATCTCAGCCGCCGCTCCACAGCACTCTGGAACACGAGAACGCAGCGTTAGCAAACTCTTGGGAAAAGGGTAACACTAGAAATGCATGATCAGGGCAGAAATAAATTTATATTTATAAATATGTGGCAAAAAGGGCAAGGGTTATCTGTGCCTTGGCCTTCCTAACCGGAAGTTTGATCTGTCTAACTCGGCTTACACATAACTCAACCAGAAACAAATCGCCCGAGAGCGCCACGACCACAGCCACCCTTAACAGGCCTTCCATCACCCAAGACACCCCCCCCCCCCCGCCACCCTTCTCCCCAAGACAGCAGCAATTATCCTCCAATGGCCGGCTTCCGCTGAGCAAGTTACCGCCTCCTGCCTGAACCAATGGTCGCGACAGGGCACTGCTGCACTGTGCCTGGTAACCCTACCACATGGTACCTGGTAACAATGCTACTCTTTATGTGGTAGCCACAGTCCACATGTGGCACTGCGAAAATACTGTTATGACCCTCGTGTCACTCTGGCACTCTGTCTATATATCCTTTTCTGTTACTTCCCCCTTAGTGGCACTGTTAACCTGTGATTTGTTTGAACAGTAGGGAGTCTGGTAACACTGTTGCACTGTACCTGGCCCTGATATGCGTTTGTGAGTAAAATTATAACCTGGTAGCCCCGGAATAAGCATAATGATAACATGCTAGCCCGGGAGTGAGCATAACAATCATCATCGCAGCCCGGTAGTAAGCATAATGACAGTCAGACAGACCGTATACGGACACACTGGCAATTCCATAGTCACAAAAGACATCCTAAAGTGCACACAGCAAAGACGAAACACAAACCCACCAAAAAAAGAGTGCTAAAAAGTAAGAAAAAAAGGGCAAGAGGCTTGATGCACCCAAACTAGACGCGACAACGCACGTGCTTCAACAGGGGGACAGATTTGAGCGCGGACGGGGCTGCTCAATGCTAGTAATTTATCCCCAGACTGACAGACGAATTATTACTAGCTGGTGTACGTGCTATCAACTAGCCAAGACAACTAAGAGGTGTGGTGTTCTGGGTATTTTCTTTTTTTTTGGACAATAAGATAAAAAGCAGTTATCAATAGTAGCGATAGAAGTGAATACGATGTTGTAGAAATAACTAGAACAGAGACGCGAGTTAAGGGGTGGAGGTGGGGGGGGGGGGACAGGATGAAACAGGGCAAAGGGGGGGGGAGGGGGTAAATGGTCAATGCAGGGCGGGGGGAGGGGATGGGGGTGGAGGGAGAGGAACCCCCACCAATTGACCAGGAGCTACACTAGGTCGACCTAACTACCAGACTGCCTAGCCCTCTCTCTCTCTCTCTCTCTCTCTCTCTCTCTCTCTCTCTCTCTCTCTCTCTCTCTCTCTCTCTCTCTCTCTTTCACTTTCTTTCATTCACTCACTCATGCACGCACACACAAACTACACGCGCGCAGAGAGAGAGAGAGAGAGAGAGAGAGAGAGAGAGAGAGAGAGAGAGAGAGAGAGAGAGAGAGAGAGAGAGAGAGAGAGAGAGAGAGAGAGAGAGAGAGAGAGGGTGTTAGGGGTGGTCGAGGTAGATAGAGGTGGGTGAAGGGAGAGCGGGGGCAGGGGGGGAGGGGGGGAGGGAGGGAGGGAGGGAGAGGGAAGGCAATGGGTGATTTTGGGGAGGGGGTAGAGGGGGGGAAGGGAGGTGTAGGGGTGGGGAGGGGGTACGGGGGGAGGGGCGGGAGGATGGTAGGAACGGATGCCGCCCACTCATGTAGAACTCCGACTTCCTTTCTCACACTCCACTCGGGGAAAGAACGGCACAAGTGGCCCGTTTTTCGAGACACAAGGCCCACGAGCCCACGCCGCAAACGGGGTAAAATGACCCTAATTGCAGGATTCTGTGTTCTTCTTCTTCTTCTTTTTCTTTTTTCTTTTTTTTTTCTTTTACACCGACGTCTGGCTCTAGAAGGGCACAAGCCGACGCACAGGAAAGGCAGGAAACCTGGCAAAATCCGCGGAAATTATTGTAGTCCTGGACGAACCACTCCCCCCCCTTCCCCTTCCCTCCCTCCCTCCCTACCTTCCATTCCCTCCCCTCCCGCACACTTCCCTTCCCTTCTCTTCCATGTCCCTTTCCTCTCCTCTCTGTGCCCTCCTCTTCCCTTCCCTTCCATGTCTTTCCTTTCCTCTCCCCTCCTTTCATCCCCCTCCTCTCCCTTTCCCCCTCCTCCCCCTCCCTTTCCCCCCCTTTCCCCCACCAATCTCTTCTCCTTCGCCCCTTCTTTCCCATCACCCCATCCCTACCCCCCCCCCCCTCTAGATCACCTTGTCTGTCTCGATCACAATGAATATGCAAATCACGTCTACGTTATATTACACTGTTATTGGTTCAGCAATTCTTTCGTCAACTCTAATAATATTCAAGGTAACAATGATACTCAAAACTATAGCGATAGTAATGAGTAATAATGTGTAATTACAGTGACACTAATGACCATTCATAATAATACTAACGAGCTATACGGTAATAACAAACATATC